CTTTATTCATAGTCGCTAAGAACTGGAAACCACCCAAATTGTACACAAACCGTGGTATATTCATACAATGGAATACTATTCAGCAACAAAAAGTAACAAACTATTGATATGAACAATACAACATGGATGAATCTTAAATGCCTTATGTTAAGTGACAGAAGCCAGACTTCAGTGGCTACATATTGTGTGATTCTACTTATATGAAAATATAGAACAGGAAAAATTATAGAGGCGAGGACAGAGCTGTGTTTGCTCAGTTTGGGGGAGAGCGACGGGGGGATTGGCTATAAAGGAGCAATATGAGGGATATTTTGACATAATGAAACTGATAGCTTGATCGTGCTGGTGTTTACACAACTCTATGCATTTGTCCAAATTCACAGAAATGTGGAGCAAAATGGTGTATTTTATCATATATATATTTTTAAAAAATTTTTAAATGTGAGAGGATAATTAAAAATAAAGAAATTCAGGCAATCCAAAAATCTTTTCAGAAGTTTAATTCATTGTTAAAAGTAGGCTCTTCTCTTCACATCCTTGTCAGTTTTTAATCGAATCTGTATTTTTTCCCTTTGCATGTCTTAAATTGCCTTTATTCTTATCCCATGTTTAATTGACATTTGACTAAGAGATGCTAAGATGAAATATTTTTTAAATTCAGAGTTTTGAAGGCGTTGCTCCATTGTTTCTTAGCAACAAATGTTGCTGTTTGGAAGTCTGATGATCCATTCAAATTTTCCATTCAATTTTTCAAAGCAGTGTGTACATGATCTGTCTTTTCCTCTTGGAAGCTTTTTGGATGTGTTTTTTAAACTGATATTGTTTTTGTTTGTTTGTTTTTTGGTGAGGAAGATTGGCCCTCAGCTAAAATCTGTGGGAATCTTCCTGTATTTTGTATGTGGGACATTGCCACAGAATGGCCTGATGAGTGGTGTGTAGGTCCGCGCCTGGGATCCGAACATGTGAACCGCTGGCTGTCAAAGCAGAGTGTGCAAACTTAAGCACTACACCAGCAGGTTGGCCCCCTTAGCCTGGTATTTTGAAATTTCCTGATAATATTCCTTTACGTGGCCATTTTCTCAGTCATTATGCTGATAGCTACAGAATCTTTTAATCTGCACACCGGTGACTTTCTTGTAAGACATTTCTTGTCATTTTTCTTTGTTTATTTTCTCCCCTCTTTTTCCTCTGTTCTCTTCTGTAAATCTTATTATTTAAGAGACATTCTCTTAAATTTTCTTCCAAAGTTTTAATTCGGCCTTCACACTCAATTTCCATGAGCACCCCACCACCTTTGACTATTCTTTTTTCAAATACCCTGTTTCTGTTCCACAGATAGAGAATTTCTTTTTATCTCTCTGAGGTTATTATTGATTTTTTCCTCACCCTGCCTTGTCTCTGTGTCTGTTGAATTATTCCTCTTCCTTTGTTTATTTTGGACCTGTTTGTCTTTGAGAGTGATATACCAAAAAAGATGACTACAAGCTTTCTAGGTGAGTTAGGCTTCTTGACTGGTTGACTTCCCTATGAGTGACCGGGTGGCAAGCTGTCTTTTCTGTTAGGGGATTCCCATGTGCTAGCTTCTGGAGGTATTTTATTTGGGGCCATTCGAGCTTTTTCAGAGAAGGATGCCCAATTTTCTGTCTGGGAGCATTTATGACTGGATATGTGTTTCTGAGAACAGAGTGGGGGAAAGCAGCTGAAGCTTCCATTATTTCAAGTGTAGTCTTCCACTTTATCATGATTTTTCCCTTTCCCCTCCACCTGGCTTTCGCCTGTGCCTAATAGTCCTAATTCCTAAGTACCTCTGGGCAATTTCTCCAGAGAATAAACTTCTCATCTCCTGGTGATGGAATATGCCACATGGAGGAAGAGAAATAGACACTTGGATACATAATATGCAGGCAGAGGACCTTGAATTCTGTGATGGTTAACTTTATGTGTCAACTTCACTGGGCCACAAGGTGCCCAGATATTTGGCTAAATATTCTGTCTGAGTGTATCTGCAAGGTTTCTGATGAGATTAACACTTCAATCAGTCGAGTCACTAAAGAGGATTACTCTCCTCAATGGAGGTTGGCGTCATCCAACGAGCTGAGGGTCTGAATAGAACAAAAAGGCGGAGGAAGGGGGAATGCTCTTTTCCTGCCTGACTACTCGAGTCAAGACATGGGTCTTCTCCGCCTCTCAGACTTGGCCCGGGACTTTCACTCCTGGTTATCCTGGGTCTTCACTTTTGGTTCTGTTTCTCTGGAGAACCCCAATTCTCTACAGGTTCCCGCCACTTTTGTTCAGACTTTCAGCCAATCCCATGATTTCAGCTTTCAGTCTCACCCTATCTTCCTCTTCTTCACAATCCTTAAAGCTGGTAAGTGCTCAGATGCTGACATTCTCTGCAGGGCAAATTAGTTTGTTTCGTGTCATTACCTCCCTCCGCCAACCAACACTTTGGTTGTAAATTTCTCCACTAACTCATTTGCCTGTCTGCCAAATATCGCTTCCAAAACTGTGTTAAAATCTCTCTTCTGTTTTTGTCTGCTTTGACATTTTCCTTGCTCTTGTTGTATAACACCCTTTTTTATGTTTTTGCCAGCAATTTAGTATATTTGGAAATAAGCCATCTCTAACCACAACTGAAAAATATTTTTTCTCTGTTGTCATCAGCAAGAATCTTCTTAAAGGAAAAAAAATATCCTAGAGACACAGACACATATGGGCCTTTGTTCAACTTCTAATAAAGCTTATAGATTATTTTTAGCTACATATAAATATGCAAGCTAAAACATATTCCCTTCTGCCATTCACCTGGCCTTGAGTCATGCAGATGCCAACAGACAAGAAATTTGACAACATCCATCCACCTAAATATAATTCTTCCTTGAGTTCTTGAAGACTGAACTCAAATGTCACAATCTTCCATGATGCCTTCACTGATAATCCTTGGCAGAATTTGGTACTTTTCTCTCTATGCTCTTTTTGCACATTATAAAACTCTATTGTGGTGTTTTTCACAAAGTTTTATAAACATTTGTTTAGGGCGGCGTCTCCCAGAGGAGGTTGGAACTGAGAAAATTTAGAACCATGCCTTATATTTTTTTGTATTACTTTTGCCTCTTATATTATTTTAGCCACAAATGTATTTGCTGAAAGAATAAATAAAGGTCTCTGGTGCCCCTTTCGCTTGACCATCTCCCCTCTGCATAGCAGGGAATTCTTTCGACAGGTAGGGAAAGTCTGCTGAGAGGATTCTCAGTTAATTAGCACATCTGAAATTAGATAAATATCTATCATGTGTTTGATACAAGACGTACTCAAGAAGACAAGACATGATTTTTGCCCTGAACAGCTAAGAATCTAATTACTTGGGTTTTTCTAATTATTCTAATCATTAGTTCCCCAAATCAATACAGATATTTTTTAACTGATTTTAAAAAAGACCTAGAAATTTTAAGATGTCATACAGGAATCCTCCAAATTGAAATATTTCATAATAGATTGATTATTTTAATCTGTGTGTGTGTGTGTGTGTGTGAGTGCATAATGTCTAGATGGAGCGTGATTCACTTGGCTGAGGTAAAAGTATGATGTGGGAGCACTCAGATTTCTTTCTCCAGCCTCAACTTGATGTAAAGGGATGAACAATTGTCATCTCACTTTTGTTTTGGAAAACGATGTAAAATCTCCTTTTTATTATTATTATTGCTAATATGAAATTGAAACGAGACTCACTTTCAAACTATGGTCATTTCTCAGCAACAAAAGACAAAGAAAAGGATTCTTTGAAGAATCCGATAAAATTGGTAATGGTTATCCAAAGATTCTCTCTCCCATTTATTTTATAGATATTTCTAGTTTTAGGGCAATCTGACATATGTAAATTTAACTTTTTTCAAAGAGATTAAGTTAGAAAGTAGTCATTCTAATTAAAATTGTGTTCTCTGGAAGACACATGGATGGCCAATAGGCACATGGAAAGATGTTCATCATCACTGATCACCAGGGAAACGCAAATCAAAACTACAATAAGATATCACCTTACACCCATTAGAATGGCAAAAGTAACCAAAACAAAAAGTAAGAAATGTTGGAGAGGTTGTGGAGAAAAAGGAGCCCTCCTACACCGCTGGCGGGAAGGCAAACTGGTGCAGTCGCTATGGAAAACAGTATGGAGATTTCTCAAAAAATTAAAAATAGAAATACCATATGACCCAGCCACCCTACTACTGGGTATCTACCCAAAGAACTTGAAATAAGCAATTCCAAAAGTCCCATGTACCCCTATGTTCATTGCAGCATTATTTATAATAGCCAAGACATGGAAGCAACCTAAGTGCCCATCAACTGATGATTAGATAAAGAAGATATAGTATATATATACAATGAACTACTACTTATCCATAAAAAAGGATAAAATTGCCCCATTCACAACAACATGGATGGACCTTGAGGGTATTATGTTAAGTGAAATAAGCCAGATAGAGAAAGACAATCTCTGTATGACTCCACTCATATGTGGAAGTTAAACATGTGGACAAAGAGAACAGATTAGTGGCTACCAGGGGAAAGGGAGCGTAGAGGGTGGGCACAAAGCATGAAGTGGCGCACCTACAACACCACTGACAAACAAAAATGTACAACTGAAATTTTACGAGGTTGTAAACTATCATAATCTCAATAAAAAGTTAAAAAAAATTGCGTTCTCTGCCCTCAAAAGAATTCACTAAAGGATACATTTAAATAAAGAAACTCTTGTGCATTTAAGCATTTGTTCACAGATTACTAAATAAAGGGAAGTGAGGCTGGGCAGTCAGGGACACCAAAGCTTAGATGCTAAGGGATGTGTCCATGAAGATCAACACCTCATGAAATGAAAAATTTGATTCACACACCTATTTACAGCAGCTTATTAAACGAGATTGTCACGGCTGGGAATATAGCTTTGATTTTTATTTTCATTGCTTATGATTAGTTCTTTAGAATAACTGACAAAAGATCTGTACCTTGAAGTGATGCCATGAATTGTGGGTGTTGGTATATCGCTTGGCGTGTCTTCCACGGTGGTAATTTGGGTTCCATTGCTTTTCACACAGGCATAATTTGTGCAGACTTCAACCTGCAAACATTAGTTGAGAAATGAATAAATCCAGCTGTCTTCCAAATACAGACTTCGGATGGACTGAATCCCACCCACCCTGGTTTGTTATGAATGTCTTATAGTTCTTTATAGACTCTTGGGGCTTAATAAATATTAATTTTTGATGTTAATTGATGTTAATTGGGCTCAGAATAATCGAGTTAGTGATTAAAATAGTGATGTTTAGCTTTTGGTTCCAACTATTCAGAAAGAGACAGACATATTAACCTATCTGGAACCCAGTTAAGGAACAGAAGGTGCCTAGGTGGCAGGTTGCAAGCATAATAGGTTATCACTGACTACTGCTCTCTAAATCTATAACCAGGTAGTGTAATGATGATATCTTCTGGAAGTCTTGACACTTTACAACAAATAGCCTAAATGCTAATGTCTAATGGAAGAAAAATGAGGCTTAGAGAAGCCTTCCAATATGGCTGAGCTATTTTGCATCCATTTGTTCCGGCTGCAATTGTATTTTTACCTTAATCACAGCAGGAAATCATCATTCACCCCTTTAATTCTGCCACCTAATAGGAATAAAAACTGAGGAGGGTGGAATAGTTAAAGATTAGAAATCGGGTTCATCAAGCATTAGTAACACAAAAAGAACATATTCAGCAAGAGGGAGGAGAGACAAATGAAGGTACAAAAGATTGCTTGTGGAACATCCGCAAAGCGACATCATTCTGCTCTCAATTAGAGGATAAACCAAGGAGGAACTGTACTTTTTTCCGATGCTAATTTACTTTCGGCATCTAATACATAAATGGAAGAGGGAAGCTGGATACTGAGGAACCTTAAACACTCATACTGAGCTTTTAAGCAAAGGACTTCTCTGAATTCCCGCCGGCATTTGAGGAAAGACAAATGTACTTCTCATTGTATTTAGTAGCTATGCTATTTTATTCATGGGGCAGTTTGCACCTCAATGAGAGCTGAGGCATATTTTTATAATGCTGTTTAAGTTATGTTATTTATTTATGCCATATACTATTTCGAGGTAATATTTAATAGATATTTAAATGCTATCAAGGCCCTCCACTCTGAGATGTCCAATTAAACCCCAAATAACTTAAAGGCAGATGAACTTAAAATATACTTGCTGTAATAGAATTAATCACAATAAAACTTCATACATATTGGGAAATATTTAACTATATGATGCATAATGAGATAATTCGAAATCAACTTAACTGATTTTATTACATAAATAATATGTGGCAAGTATTATGATGGGTACTTGCACTAATAATTTTATTGAGTCCTTACAACTCCATTTTCATAAGTTTGCAAATTGGGGGTCAGAGAAATCAGGGAATATGATCAAGCTGTTAAGATATATAATATCTGATTTGGGCTTTACTGTATCCCATTGCCTTATCATCTAAATATTAAGCATAGCTTTAAGTTCTAAACCACTTAGGTGTATTTAAGTGATTTTCCAGAAAGTTTTTCTTTCAACTTTAGAGAAATGTGTTAATATTTTTCTCATTCTTACTAATGTAATATTTCAAATCTCCATCTTTGGGGCATATTTCTGGTGCTATAGCTATATTATATAACATGTGGATGAAACACGAACATAAAGGTTTACATATTTACATTAAAAAGAAAAAATTTAATCAAAAATGGAAATTATTATTCCATTTAAAAAAGGAAATATAAATGGATTCATTCAAAAAAGTAGATACTTTGGTGCATCGATATGTCTGCTTTAAAATCAATGGCTATTTTACAGAAGGGATTAGCAAAGAGAAACTTGTTTTAAAGTATTAGGCATATCAATTAAGTGCATATTTTAAATGGAGCCAAATTATCTTTGACACCATAAATGAAAATCAGTGAAACTTGATATTCAGATTTCCAGCAATGCAACAATTATTTCAGTATTCCTGGGCTGTGAAGAGCTTCACAAGAGTATCGTTATCAATAATAAGAACATCTTGGGGCCAGCCTGGTGGCGCGGCAGTTAAGTTTGTACATTCTGCTTTGGCAGCCAGGGGTTCACCAGTTCGTATCCCGGGTGAAGACCTACACACTGCTTATCAAGCCATGCTGTGGTAGGTGTCTCACATTTAAGTAGAGAAAGATGGGCGTGGATGCTAGCTCAGGGCTGATCTTCCTCAAAAAAAAAAAAAAGAAATAGAATAAGAACATCTTAGTTACTTATAAAAAAATTTAAGTATTAGATTCTAATTTGGTCTTTTGTCTCCTCATCCATTTCCACGTTCCAAATCTGATCAAAATGAACTCTCCTCAGGTCACTGCTGATTCAAACCAGTAGGTATGAGTCAGCCTTTCATAGTAGAACACGTCTGAAACACTTAAATGTCGACTCCATGGTCAGAAAGCTGGAGCTGGACATATGCGTCCAGCACCCAATGATCTTACCTGTAGGTTGTATTTGAGTCCCAATAAGCGAATGAATACGCTGCATTTTGAGGACTCAGTCAGCTTTCTCCACTAGAGTCCAAAAGAGGATAGGACAGCCAATCCTCCGTCACCTTCCTATGCTAATCTTGTTCATAAAAATATATTTCTAATTATCTTGAATGTGATTTTTATTTTATAATTTGACCTATGTTCTACATACACATATGGACTCACTCTAAGACCGAGAACATCAACATCATGTGTGTGCTAAGATGTAAACACATGTGCTATACTAAGATCTTCAGGTGGGTTGATGGAAATCATGGAGTGTGATGAAAATCAATGTGCCTTTCTTTTTTTGTCAACTATCTTTTTATTTTGTTTTCTTAGGAAGTCAGGCGTAGTCGTGGGAGAGGCTAAACCATTGGTGTAGCCAGACGATTTTGTGTGTTCCACTTTCAAATATGGCAGAAAGAAGGGGATGGGAAAATAAAAGAGGCAGCACTTGGGGCCGGCCCCGTGGCCGAGTGGTTAAGTTCTCGTGCCCAGCATTTCACCAGTTCAGATCCCGGGCACCAACCTAGCACTGCTCATCAGGCCATGCTGAGGCGGCGTCCCACGTAACAAAACCAGAGGCACTCACAACTAGAATATACAACTATGTACTAGGGAGCTTTGGAGAGAAGAATGAAAAAAAAAGAAAGAAAGAAAGAAGATTGGCAATAGTTGTTAGCTCAGGTGCTAATCTTTAAAAAAAAAAAGTTTCTGTGGTCAAATAAAATTTCTACGTTTAACATCTTCTGAAAATTATTTCCAAAGCTCTTATGAATTTTAGAAGTCGCACAGTGTTTTAAAAAAAATTACTAAATTGCAACCCTTCTCTATAAACTTTGAGCTTCTGAAGCACTCTGTTTTTACCATTAATTTCCATGTTTGGCCTTGTTATCTTTTACATTTCAGCACTCTCACAAGATTTTTAATTCCCAGAGGATAAATGCCTTGTTTTATATACCTTAGTATTCTCCGTATTTTGCTTTTGCATTTAAGGTCAGTAGATCTCGAAGAGTTCTATGAGTTGGGCCTCAGATGGTCAATGCATCCTCTGAAGTTGCATGTTAACTTTTATCATATAAGTACATACATATTTTTCTAGGGCAACGTGCGCTGACTTCACCAGATTCCCAGAGGCACAAGGATAAAGACGTTTAAATACAACAACTGCCCTTACATAGGAGAGGGTCATGGAATGTTTGTTGAATGATAAACAGATAGATTCTTTTCATCGTCAGATAAAATCTTTTAATACTTTTTTTATCTGCCATATATTCATTCACGTTTTCTTGTATTCAGAATCACAAAATTCTAGAGGTGGATGAAATGTCCTCAGTCATCTAGTCCACTGCCCTTACAAAAGAGATGTGACACCAAATGAGGTTGCATAACTTCTCTAGTTATTAAATTAGTAAATAGCAGAAAGAGGAATAGAAAAAACGTCTCCATGTTCATAGACTGATTTTGATCTTGATGTCAGTAAAAACAAAATAGGAAAAAGGTAAACAGCTTGGCAAGATTTACTGCAAATATGAACGACTGCATTTTGCCAGTGAGAATATCATCACCATCCTCCTCAGCATCATTTTTCATATTATTACTTTCTCTCCGGAGACTCATGGGTTTGCCCCCAGCAAACAGATTTAGTCCTGATCAATTTCCCTCTTTGTCCCCCTTTCCTTGTGAAATAAATAATCTGTAACCAAGATGGAAAATAGCCACTTAGAGATTTTATTTGCATACCCTTAAGCTTCACCATCCAAAAACAATGTTCTAACCTGAATGTCATAGATAGTAAAGGGAGCCAGGTCTCGCAGAATGAAAGACCCGGGCACATTCTTTCCAGTCTTGTAGAGCTGATTATTTACATAGACAGAATATTCCGTGACAACACCATTTGGGTTTGAAGGAGATGTCCAGATGACACGTACAGCTGTACTGTTGATGATGACAACCTCTGGAGGAAGCACGCCCTGAGGCTCTAGAATTAAAGGAAGAAACTGAATAAACTCCAGCTGTCTCTGAAAAAGCACTTGTTAAACTAAAGGCAGATAAGTATTTAGGTTTTGCTTATCTGCTTTCCTCTGATAAAGTTATCACAGTCTGTATTCCTCTGTAAATTGCCTTATTATGCTCTCAGTTAGAAACCATAAGAATTGGTGGTAAAATGCTTTATACCACCAACATAGTGCTAATCTTCAATACTATGTGACCAGTGGGATATGATGATCAATTATTAACCCATCTGCACCACTAACACATGTCTATTATTCGTCTCTTTTCCCATCCCTTCACTCCATGCCTCCCAGGGTTAAAAAAAAAAAAAAAAAAAAAAAAGGAAAGAAAATTTGCTCCTTAAGCAAAAAAGAAAACTGAAATATATTGAGGCTGGTGGAATGTGAAAAATCATTTGACGTTACTAGCTTGTAACTCAAGCAATATGAAGTAATAATGCAATATTGTCATTATGTAAATGATTTTGAATGTTGATTACCATAGGTAATGATGAAATCTAACATTAGAAAAAAATCTTGCTTGGCGTTAAATTACACAATTATTCAAGCATGTCAGAAATAACTAAGCAAAGACCTATTTTTATCTTAAGAACCCATCTTAACTGGTTGAAAAATTGTCCTTGTGATCCGTTCTATTTTATAAACAAAAGGTGTCAACCTTTGGCACCACAAAGGGAAATGGGTTCCACACTGAAAGTGCTCTGCTAATGACCTGGAACGCTTGCTTGGGAGGTAATGATATTATAATGTTTATAATGAGACTTTATAAAGCCAAAAAGATTAGAAAGACCATTCCAAACACATTTCAGATTCACAAGTTACTTCCTTTGCTTCCTCCCCTTGCTAACTGGCTTAGAAATGAGTCATAGGCAATTTTTCTCAGTGGCTGAACTTCCACCTACCATTTCTGGTGACTCAGGGAGGGCCCTCATCGTGCTTGGCTGTCATTTTGAAAAGTATACTGCTTCTGAGAGCAAATCTTAAAAAAAAAAATGTTTCTAAATGTCACCATTTATCGATGTGAACTCAGCTCCAAGCTAAGCATACACTGACTGAAAAGAACAGGAACAAACTGGGCTAATAAACCATTATTAGAGCTTGTGCTCCTGTCTCAATGGGACCACTTATTGATCTGCCACTTGACGACAGCGAGCACTTAAGCATTTTAGCCCCAGCCCACTCCCCTCCAACACCGGAAATTTTATAATGGAGGGATGACTGATCTCAACCTCGGCAAGGATCAATCAATTTCATTTGCATCTCTGAAGCCCAGGATCCCTTGAAATCTGGACTCACCTCCATCGCGAGTGGTTGCATGCAGTACTTCACTGTTGATACTGTGGGCTCCATTGAAGACAGAGATAAAAATCTGATACTCTGTGTTTGGATTTAAGTGGCCAATGGCATGAGAGTTTACATCTGGGAGGATTTTTAGAGATTCATTGGAGGTAGCAGAATTCCAAAAAAGTGTATAATATTCAACATCACCTTGTAGGTCTCGAAAAGCTGTTAATAAACACAGGACACTGTAAATGTGGCAGATCTAAAAGGGTCTCAGGGGACACAGATGGAGAATAAACCCTATCAGTAGCTATTCCTACAATGGGGAGAAGGAAACCTTATGGAAACTTCTTTATGGAGGTGCTGGTTTTCCTTTTTTTTAAACAAAGTTAATTTTCTCCATATCCCATAATTAATTGCGTACAGTCTTACCTTTATAGGAAAATATACTTTAAATAGTTTAAGTATGTTACTTGTAATTATTCATCTGATCTTCAAAACTTTGATATAACATGTATTAAAGGAAACTAAGAGTAAAATAAAAATATATAATACATGGAACAACTTTTGTTCATATGTTACATAATCCTAGAGAGAAGTGTATCCTAATACAAATAAGGCTTTTCCTCACACAGATCCTAGAACTTGAAGCATTTTTTAACTTGCTAACAAAATCTGCTAAATGGATTCTAGAAGAATGTTGAGAGAGATGTCCCCTTATGTATGCTCTCAATGTACCAGGGCAACCTAGCACGTTCTCCTAAGGATTCACTCAGTAGGATCCTAGGACAATATCTGAATGTTTATCAAGGCTCTCATTCTTGTCTCCCAAGTTCATAGTGTTTCTACCATGTAGGCAAACTCAAAAAGGATGCCAAAATCAATTACTTACTGTCTCACAAATATAATTCATCAATTCCTCAGTCCTCATGCTTTCAAAGGCCAGTGTCCTATTTTCTGTCCCCTCTTTCACCCAATTTCTCTATTCCTTGCCCTAAGCTCTGCTTCTCATTATCTTCCTACAATGATGCTTTTAAAAAAAGACATAAACAACCATATTTTCTTAGGTAGGCATAGTATACTTCTCTACTTACTTTAATAGTATTTTTCAAAACCTAGCAGGAACTATTATCTTTGCTTGTGTTGGGATTGGGGGTGGAATGTTGGTTCACAAGCCTCCTAAAATTGTACATAAATGTGTCAAAAAACAGTTCAGCAGCACAATCTGAAGATCAGGAGGAAAGGGTGGTATTTCTCCTCATGGTTATTGAAGTACAGTGTCTCTAAAATGTGAAATCTTAGCATATGACCATGTAAAGGAGTATAGCTTTGAGAACTGCATGACTTTTTTTTTCCCCTTTGGCTGAGGAAGATTTGTCCTGAGCTAACATCCATTGCCAATCTTCCTCTTCTTTTCTTTTATGTGGGCCACTGCCACAGCACGGTCGCTAACAGACAAGTGGTGTAGGTCTGCACCTGGGATCCGAATCCCAGCCACAGAAGCAGAGGGTGGTGAACTTAACCACCAGGCCACTGGGGCTGGCCCTGTATGACTTTCTTTAAGGACCACTTTTGATTAAGATCTTAGTGTTCTTGCAAAAAAGCTGAATGCTGGTTTGTCTTTTTTTAATACTTTTGTTTCCTAAGCACGATATGGCTTTGATCTTATCTCTAGCAATAGTTTAAAAAGTTTGACACACCAGCATAGCTGGGAGAGTTTATGTTAAGAGATCTTTAGCAGGTAATTTGAACACACTGAGGACTGAGATGTATCTTTTCTCTGATGTCACAAAATGTAAGCACCTTTAACAATGAGGTCATTAATAATGCATTGGCGGGAACTGGCTATTCATGTCCATCGATATTTTCCCAAATAATATTATTAGTCAAGTACAGCAAAGCCACCGGTGCTGCGAGTGCAAAAGTTCCATCTGTCATTAGAACTATTTCCCGCTGGCTTAGGGTATCATTACTCATTAATTTGAGGCAGCTGAGGTATAATGGAAAGTGTACTAGATTTGAGGTTCTTCTTGAATTTTAGTTTAAGTGAGCAGGCTGTTGTACACATTTTATACAATAACGTATACATAAGTTGGATAAGTATATATATGCTTATCCAACTTATATGGATACATTAAAAATATTGGGACCAGCACTGTAAGTTCACGATGAGCAAAGATCCTAAGTCAAGGTATGGCTGAAATCCCATTAAATGCCCATTTTTAGCCATGCACGATATGTCAACCCCTCTGAAATAAAACGGAATCTATCATCCCCAAAAAAGATAGGAAAAGATGGTGATTCAGTTCTATTAGCTATGTCTTACTCCATGATATAGAGGCTCTTATATCCAGAAACAGGCAGCATCTCTGGACAAAAAGTACCAGATTTCTGCATTATCCTGCCTCTTGCCAACATCTTCTTCAATGCTTCTTTCTCTTCATTTATTTAAATGTTGCCGTGCGGAGTCCAAAACACACAAAAATAGTAGAAACACAGTATACCTTCAGATTCCTACTCATCTTATGAGAAGTTTTGGGAGAAGTGCATGCAGAGGAGCATGAGTTGTCATTGGTCAAACAAGTTTTTTTTTTTAACTTCAATGAGCTCTTCCTAAGTCAGTGAACCATCTAAGAAGCAGAAGATACATCCTCAGTTCAACAGGCCATCACAAAAGTAAAGGCTGATGACCTTGAGTTTAGCTCTGAGAGAGGAACACTGTTAGAATTGAAAAAGCTGATACGAGGAGCCAAGTAAATTTCGCCCTCCTGATGTGTTGGTAAAAGCTGGCCTGAATGTATTTCTCTTTTTTAGAAGAGGAAAACATAAGCTACAAGGCATATTCATTGCATTAGATAAGGGAAACATTGCCTAGAACCGTCAAAAGAAGAATCTTTTTGATACATTACTACTATGAGAGTGGGATGGAAGTTTTATAAAACATTTGCATGGTGTTCTTAAAAATAACAAAAGGGACATGCCTTTATGAAAAAGAAGCCTCTATGAAACAGGTGCCTGGAATCATAAAAAGACAGACATGAAGATAAAGGTGTAAAGGGATTTTGCTTATATAAGAAAGAAAGAAAATAAACATAAAAAGTAATGGCAGAATTAAAATCTACATTGAAAGCAGAAAAAAGCAGAGTTAAAAATGCATGATATCAATCAATAAAGAGGCAAATGACTAAGGAGAAATCAGTGAAATTCAAAATTATAAATATTGAAGATAGAGAATGAAAAAAATCTAACTTGAAAAATAAGTGAAATAAATAATCATGGATATAAAATACTCCCTAAAACCTTACCCCAAATGAAGGTTTATGTCTATAAATTGAATAGATTGATACAGTTTTGGCCAAAATAATGACAATATATACAAACACAGACATATCATGGAACATTATGACGTTTCAAAGGTAGACTGAAAAATTAAAAAGTCATCTACAGGGGCTGGCCCAGTGGCACAGTGGTTAAGTTCGCACGTTCTGCTTCTTGGTGGCCCAGGGTTCGCTGGTTCGGATCCCATGTGCGGACACGGCACCGCCTGGCAAGCCATGCTGTGGCAGGCATCCCATGTATAAAGTAGAAGAAGATGGGCAGGGATGTTAGCTCAGGGCCAGTCTTCCTCAGCAAAAAGAGGAGGATTGGCAGCAGATGTTAGCTCAGGGCTAACCTTCCTCAAAAAAATTTAAAAAAAAAGTCATCTACAAAGGAGAAAAAAATCAGGCAAGTTTCAGACTTCTCATCTGGACCATCACATGTTGGAAGACATGGAACAAATTTCAGCAAGTTTTGATGGAAAATATTTTGATCCAAGAATTTCATACACATCTAAGTCATTATTTATGCGCAACACAACAGAAAGACTTTGTTAGAAAGGTAAAAATTAAGAGAATGTGCAAAGATGACAGAAATACTTCCTTATATAGGCAAAAATTAAGAGATAGGTAACTAATTTATTCACTTTAATGATAAAAATTTTCCAATAATGTTCTCCAGATGATAGAAAGATGATCAAAATCCAAAAGTCAAGATTGGGAAAGTTTAAGAATTGATAATAAATATTGAAACTATTTAGATAAAATAATTATTTGAAAATAATTATATCATAATAATTTATAAAGCAAACATTGAAAATGGTAGATAAGAAGGGCAAGGAAAGTAACAGTTCGCCAAATTCTTTATTATAAATAAAATAGGAAGTCACGGAAAAATAGAGAAAGATGTCACTAACTACTAATAGCATTAATAGGATAAACAGCATTTAAATGTGAAAATTTACTAGAGAAGACAAAAGTTGTGGCAAATATTCCTAGCACTCACCAACACCCATATTTTTCTCTTCTTTTCAAACAGCTGGACCTCATTTTTGGGGTCCCTTGCCTTTGGGTGAGGTCATATGACCAGTTTGTGCCATTTTTGGACTGAGATGTTAAAGAACACTTGACCACCTCTGATTGTCTCTAGTTTTCCCAGCTAGAGAGGGGCTCCACGGCCTTAGGGAGTGGCGGATCCACTAGGTGGAAGGAGCCATGGTCCTTAAATGACTCACGAGAGTTTAGAAAGGGATAAGGAAGAGTTACAGATAAATCCCAGATTTTTGGTCTTGGTTTCTGTGTGAATCCCATTAAACAAAGAAGGAAAACATGGGAGTAATTATGGGATGGAGAATTTGAAACATTCTTTCATTTGAGTCTTCTTGAGTATGAAGTGTTTTTGTGGCAACCAAGTGGACTTAGAAATTAAAGTGTGAATATTTGAGCTAGAATTATATAATTTGGAGTTAAGGTATGAATACTAGATTGGGTTTGAAGTAACAGGAAGGAATGAGAATTTCATGTGAGATTATGTTAAATATTCCATACATTGGGAAATATTTACTCAGATATTCTATCTTGTTATGTGTAGAGCACATTTTATGGACCACATAAATTTGAGTAGGTATTGCCCTAAGTGTACAATATCAGGTCAACCTCAGTGAGTTGAAAAGAAGGTTATAACCTCTCGACACAATCTTTGCTATTAAATGCCATTTTTCGTGGTGATCTCAGTATATTGATCAGAAATGTGGTCTTAGCTGCAGCACACTCTCAAATATAGAATAGATCCCTCTCCTTTGTAATGGAGTCCCAAATAATTTAAAACAGTCACTAGATGGGCCAGTTGAAAGTCCTCTTGCAAAAGCAATTAGATTACGCTCCTTACACGCTGTTGGATTATTTTGA